CCCCCACAGTGGAGTGCTGCAGGGCCCTGGCCAGTTTTCAGGGAGCCCGCCCTCAGTCAGTGATACAGCACCAAAGGCTTTCTCGAATAGGAGACATTGTCCTTCAGCAGGGGGGACCCCACAGCCATGCGCACTTTGTTCCAGCGGTGGCCTTTATTGTAGATGGGCTTGACGGATTTGGGAGACCAACGTGTCAGGTATCTGGAGGGAGAACACAGAGGCGGCAGTCAGGGCTGGGGACCCATATCTAATTTGGGAGAGGAGCATTACTTCCTCAGGTCAAATACACAGTGAGCCTAGTAAACCAGTTTTCCTTTCTCAAAGGGTTCATTTGGTTTTCCCTGGGAGTAACCACTAAGTGTGTTGTAAACAGATGGGCTGGGCTCTTGCTGCCGCAAGCGTGTGTGGCCAGGGTCAGGGCCAGCAAGGCAGCCTGGGGCCACACGCTTCCTTGATCTTTATGAGTTGTCAGTGTTTGTATGTTTGCTAGGGAGGAGGCGGGAGGAAGAGCCCGCTCTAGAGCAGATCAATGCTCTCTGGCCTTGGCCGTGGGGACAGCAGAGGCTGATGTCAGGGCCTGGAGGAGCTGTCCACTTCCCCCCACTTGGCTCACTTCGCCACCCCAGCCTTCGGGGCACACCCCTGGGCAGGTGTAACCTGTGAGGGACCGCTGACCCTCACCCAACCCAGGAGGGGAGCCAAAGGGAGGGGGTGCTCCAGGGTGCAGACCTAGCCCAGGAAGGTTCCTGTAAGTAGGAGGGGGTAGGGAAGACGGCTGCCGCCCATGGTCCTCTGGCCTCCTTTGGGGATGCTTAGGCCTGGATAGTTCCTGGAAAAGTGGCTCATGCCGGCTGGGATGAGGATTTACTCTGTCCAGAGTGGAACCTGGATCCTTCCCAGAGGCCCATCCTTCGCCACAGCAAAGGCCAGTCACCCTCCCATATAACCATGTAAGGCTAGGACTCATCCCAGTCACCTTAAAGACCCTCAAGGACAACAGATTTCTTATTTAAAAAATAACTTTAGCTAAAAATGTTTAGATAAAGAAAAGAAAATGCAGATTATTGATTTATACATTTCATTTGAGCTTCTTAGGCCTGCCTTTGTCCCTCAGCCCTGTGCAGGTGTCTGCATGCCAAGCATCACTGAGAGGGAGGGGAGGCCCTTCTGCCTGTGGTGGGCCTCAGTGCCCGGCCAGGGACAAGAGTGTGACATGCGCGGGCCAAAGAATAACATTCTACAGTGTTGGTAGTCCTGAGATATCAAGACAGTAGGACACAGGGAGGGGAACAGCTAGCATATTTTTGAATGCTGGCACCTCCCAGTTGTTAGTGGTGGTAGGTGAAGATGGGGTGGGAAGGTAGGCTCCCAGAAAGGGATGGTCAGGTCTCAAGGCTGATACCCCCCTAAAGCTGTTCTTTGCCTCATGCCATGGAAAGGCTTCGGTCTATTATCAGGGCCACAGGGGGCAGCCAGCGAGCAGGGGTGGGCTTGTGGCCTCCAGTTAGCTGAGAGCACTCGAGCTCCAGGCAGCATCAACTCCCCTTCCTACCTCTGGCAGCGGAAGGGGAGGAGTAACAGCAGGGAAGACAGCTCGGTTCCATCGAGCCACAGCCAAGCCTGGCCAGTACATGGCAGCTCAAGGACCTTCGGGTGGAGTCACAAAGTTCCTGACAAGGAAATTAATCTCCTTTGCAGCCTGGACTCCCTTCTCCCCTCTCAGGGTGGTCTTCTGCAACCCAAGAGCCCCCACACATCATCAATCCTGTGTCACGATAAAGGACACCAGATGTATGGGAGGGCGCCTGGCCTGGCTTCAAAGGCCCTAGGGTGGGATGGATTGTATCCTCAGGCTAGCTTACTGCCTTTTAAAAAGATGGGGGTGGGGGATCAACCCCAAATGGACATCACAAAGACATAGGAAGAGGTTACTATGTCCTGCTCCTTCAGGACTGCTGGCAGATGGCCCAGGTGGCCATGTGGGAGGTGCAGGTGGAGGTGTGCTGGGCCAGAATGCTGGTGAGGCACTGGTGAAGGTCAGTCTTGGGCTGGGGAGGCAAGGTACCAGGAAGCAGCCCTATGTCCTCATGTCCTGCACCTTGACCCCTCACCTTGACCAGGACCTGAGTTCTGTTGGTGACCCTGAATGCATGCTCAGAGTGGTGGGTGTGGTGCTTTGCTTCACTCCTCTCTAGTCCCTACAAAGAGCAGTTCCATCATTCTCACTCAAGATTGGGAATGGCCAGTGGCATCTGGACAAACTGAAGGAGGGAGGACTCATGGAGGAAGAGAACAAGAAACCCCAAAATCAACTTCCTAGACCTGGATGTACACTCAACACGTACTCAACATGTCCCAGGTCCTAGAGCTCAAAGAATGTGTGAACGTGGTGCGGTCAGAGATGGAAAGGAATCTGCTCCTACACTAGAGAGCGCATACCGTTAGTCTCCAGGGCTGGGGCCTCTTTGGAGAACCTTGGGATTTCCTGGTGTGGGAAGTCCTCCCATGTGCAGTGGTGTAAGCTGTTAACCTTACAACACCAGAGAACACCACTTACAATCATGAATGTGGCCCTAAGCTGTACAGCACATGACTTTCATAGCTGCATACAGCAACTCTGACTCAGAGCCCTCCCATTTCTAAGACCTCATTCTAGCCTTTAGTAACCCCAGTGCTAGAGAGAGCTGGGATACTTAAAGTTTGTAGAAGTACTCTGACATCCCCATAGCAACTCAATGTGATGTCATAAACAGCGGATTAGCACTTTCTAACACCCAATCAGCAGAGCAGGCTGCTTTACCCTCTGCCCTGTGCTAAGTGCTTTACTGGGGAAGGGAGGGGGCTGTGGCTGAGGCCAGCAGGGGAGGGTGACAGAAGCGTGTGCACCATGAAACACCATGGTGGGGCTGGACTAATGGGGGCGGGGTGCTCAGCGGGAATGGAGCTGACTGAATAGACAAGTAACACTCCAGCTTTCCTAAATGGTGGGATAGGCTCCCACCAGTTGCTGCCTCAGTGAATGCAGTGAGCAGAGGGGCAGAGTGCTGGGGATGCTGATACCCAGTTGTGCTTACCGGTTGAGCTGGGGTTTTCTCTTGGGAACAAACCCTTCAGGAAGCTTCGGCCTGTGATTGGGTAACAGACCTGCGTGGAGGGAAGAGTGTGTAAGGAGATGGGTCTGTGTAGCTCCCTGGCCGCTTTTAGGGGTCAGAGGGAAAGCTGAAGGGTGAGAGGCCTCGGGTAGAGGTGAATGGTGAGCCCACTTCTCTTCCAGGAGGGGTGGAGGACAGGGAGCGGGTGAGGGACTGCTCCTGCAGAGCCCTGAGGGGCTCCTACCTGCGCGGTGGGCCATCTTGACGCACTCCTCAATCTTGCGGTGCTCCTCCTGGCACAGGCCTGTGACCGTTCGGGGCAGCATGCCTCCATGAGGACGGATGAACTGGCTCAGGAGCAGGACATCCTAGTGTGGGGACAGGACAGCCAGCATCAGCTGAGGAGCCAGTGCAGCTTGGCTTCCAGGGGAGGTGTCCAGATCCCGGGCCTTGAAGACACTGCATTTCTCTGGGGCTTACCTGAAACCCTACCCTCTACAGATCAGTGCACACTGGCCTGCCTGGAGAGTTAATTCTCACCTGCACTAAGATTTTTCTGTATTTCACTATGAAACAATCTTCTGACAGACCAATTCAGACAGAAGTGGAGATGGTAACAATGTTTTATGCACCTGCAGTATCTTTCCTGGTTAGGAGGGGTCTGCAAAGATACTTTTTTTTGGGGTGGGGGGTGGCTGTATGCATAGAATACGTTGTAATTTTCTCCCCAAAATGGGAAAACTGTCACCATTTCAGCTCAATAAGCCTACAGGACCACAGGCTGGACTGCATGCAGATAGCCCTTCACCTTGCTGCGAGGTGCTATGCATGCCTACTTGTGGAGAAGGGAGGGACTAAGGTTGTGAAGACAGATGGCAGGTTTCCCCTCACGTCCTCAAAGGGGAGAAGTGTTGGGTTCTGGTCTTCTGATGGCTTATCACCAACACATTCCCTTCAGGAGCAAGAAGGATCAACAGAGCCAGAACCAAGACAAGACACCACCTTCCTGTCAGTTCTCATAGGCTGGTGGGCTGATTGCCTTAAAAACACTGAGGGGGTTAAATAAAACTCACTGGCCCCAGGGGTCCGGGCAGGCTAGGGTCAGCAGTCAAGTTGCTAGAAACAGATTTGCTGCCCTGGAGAATCCTTGGCAAGAATCAGATTTGTTTTAATCACTAAACAACTCCTGAGGGACCCAGGCCCCTAATTCCCAACCCTGTAATCTTCAGAATCTGATGAAAAGAACTTGGACTGGATTAATCCGGGGCTAATAAACTGTGCTTGCAGCCCCAGCCCTCTGGTAGGAGGCTGCCAGGCAAGCTGACAGGCTAATGGTGCTCCAAGTGGAAAGAGGTAAAAAGGAATAACAACTTTAGCCTTTACCTCGGAGGGGATTAGATTTCTTCTGCTGGATAAACAGAGCCAAGTACGTTTCCTGGAAACAGCTGGTAGGACGAGTGCCCTGTAGTTGCTGGGCAGGTGGGGGCTCACATCCCCCCTGGCTGCTGGGATCCTGAGAGTGTCCACAGCCCTCCTTGCTTCCATGACACGCAAGTCCGTGAACACTGCCACTTTGCCACAAGCCTTCTCTTACTCCAGGCAGCCATCAGAAGGGCCTTGGGACAGAACTGAAGAGTGCACTCCTGTCTACAGGTGGCATGAAGCCAAGGTTCCTCAGCCCAGGAGATTAGCTGGGTCATTCTGTTTAGATCCCGTGGGCACGTGGCTTCTTCTGCTCTAATCGCCTGGCCAAGATCTCTGGGCCTTAGTCATCCATTCCCAGAGGGGCACAGGGACAACTTGTAGGTCAAATTGGCCCAGAGCCTGAATCACCTGAAACCCAAAAATAGAGTGCTTAATGTCACCAGTGAGAACTCAGAAGAACAAGCATGGCTTTCTCCACACTGTGTCCTTTCCCAAGGTCCTCCTTGTTTCCAGAGATGTACAAAAAGGGAGTGAGCAATGTGGCCTCTGCCTGGGCCTTGCATCTCAGCTCTGATACGAACCAGCTAGATGAACTGAGGTAAATTAACGATTCTCTCCATGCTTCAAATATCCTTTGTAAAATGATGATGGAAAAGACACCTACTTCATAGGGGTACTGTGAAAATGAAGTAAATTCAAGGCATGTAAGCACAAGGCTTGGCACACAGTACACACTTAAGATGTGTTCCTACTGTTGTTCAGAATCTTATTTCCTGGAAAAATAGCAATCCTAAGAAAGCTGGAACAACCACGAGTCTTTGTAGCTCCAGTATGAAGAGAGAGTAATGTGTTCCCAGATCACAGTGAGAACCAAGGGCCTCTTCAAATACGTCCTCTTGTCAACAGAGTAGGAGGAAAGTCAACCTCAGACCATGATTCCAGCCCTCTGAGAACAGCGCCCAAAGGACCGTGAGAAGGCCTGTGGTCTGAACTGCAATCAGAACACAGAAAAAACCCAAGATGCAGAGTAATTCCAACTCATAGAGACCCCACATGTCAGAGCAAACTGCACTCTACAGGGTTTCAGTGGCAGGCTGATCAGAAAGAAACCAACAGGCCTTTCTTCCAAGTGCCCCTATATTGCCAGTCTCTCAATGAATAACTGGGTGCTAATTGTTTGCACCACCCAGGAACTCTAGAACCATGAATTTAAAACCAGTGGCTCTTGGCCTCTCTTCCATATTTCCTTTCAAGGAAGGAGATCCGTCCCGTTGGGATGTTAACTTTCTAATCTATTTTTACATTTTCCCTTCAAAAATAAAAATCCACAAAAACGAAATCCAGTGGCTCTCAATCCTGGCTGTATTTAAAATGACTTGAGGAGCTTTAAAAACCTATGAGCCCAGCCTCCACCTGAGACCACCTGAATCAGTCTCTGAGGGTGGGGCTTAAGCATTCTTTTCAAGCTCTCTAAGATTACAGCAGGCAGTGAGGACCGAGAAGCACTGGGTGAAATGCTCCTGCCTCTGATGGCTTTCCAGCATGCATCAGCGGCTATAGGATACTGTTTCAGTTGACCAGGAGGAACAGACTCCCAGATGAACAAAGCTGAGGGACTCCAGCTGTACTCACCTCATAGTTATACTTGTGCTTCAGGTTCCAACGACAGATGGGGCACTGGCCAGAGGGGTTAGGGGGATGTGGACTCTCCTTGGGAGTCTCTGTG